ACCCTTCCATACTCCTGTTCCTTCATTCCTGTGTCCTCAACCTTTCTCTCCTCTTTATTTTTCCTGTCTGTCTGCTCCATTCTCTCCACCCTCTCCTTGTTCCACAGCCCATCTTTCTCCCAGACTTTCTGATTGCCCACCAATGCCTATGCTAACAAAAATATAAATTGAAAGCCAGATGAAGGATGGGTATTTTCAATGGAACCTCTGCATAGGAAACACAGGAACAAAGTCAAGGACGCTGGGCATTACATGGGGTGGGGGGGATCCTCTTAAACAATTAAGGGGAAAAAATCCTTTATAACTTGGTGATACATTTTAAGTACTAGGGAACTGAAGGGAGATAGTGAGGGCAGACCTTCTCGTAGGGGATCTGCAGAAGGTCCAGCACCACCGAGTGAGCACCCATGTTCTTCAGCAGTCGCTGGTGCTGGTTGCGACATTTCTTGTTCTGCACACAGAGCTTACTCAGCCTAATCAGGATCTTTAAAAAGATGAAGCACTGCATTAGACACAGTGATGTAACACAGTCATGTGACACAGTCATGTGACATACAGCAACAATGAACAGCAACATAACAACAGCAATGTCACACACAGCGACATCACACACAGTGATGTAACACACAGTGATGTAACACAGTCATGTGACACACAGCAACATAACACAGCGATGTCACACACAGCGACATCACACACTGTAATGTAACACATAATGATGTAACAAAGCCACGTAACACACAGAGACTTAACGCAAGCGACATCATGCACAGCGACATCACACACAGCAATGTAACACACATATGAACAAAAACATCCATGTGTGAACATGTAGAGAGAAAGCGTTCCTATCTGCTGACCTCCTTGACAATCCGGTAGTTGTTACCCTTGTTGCTATCAATTTGCGGTGTCTTCACGCCATCCTGCACAGGACTCAAGAGGTTGGATTCCTAAAAGCAACAGCAATGCCTGTTTTAGGTTTGTAATGAACTTACTACTTTTACAATAAAAATATAATTTATAGTTTCTTTAAAAAAACAGTTATCTGGCCTAAGTTTTATGCTTTTTTATTGAATAAAAATTTTCTCAGCTTGAATGAGACAGACACACTACTATAACTTCATAAAAACCAAGTTGCAAGGTAAGTAGCATTGCTGAGCATTAATAAGGGAAATTAAAATAAAAGGCTGTTGTACATATTGCTAGTGTATAAATATATGTATGCTGCAGACATGCCATAGGTTCATATGAGGGGCAATGGTCAAAACCAAGAGCACACAAGTCATAATTCTATCATCAAAGATGAGATGTGAGGAAACTATGAACAAAGGAACAAGCACAACATCGAGATACATCTCAGGGAAGAAAAGGCCAACTTAACCCCGGATGCTCAGCCAGGTTACCATGACATCCTTAAGAGTCAAACTTGGAATAGATGAAGTGTGTGCAGGAAAATGAAGAAATAAAAATAGAAATTAAATCAAAACATAATATTTTAAATTACTGCATTCATAAGACTTATAGAGAATTCTGAGACACCAAAAACAAGTAATTATAATAACCATTATCTGATACATTACATTAAGAAAAAAATCCGGGGCACGTACTCGTGTTAAATATCACCTATTAGAATCACCATATAAAAAGAACCTATTAGCAATGCTTACACATAAAACATTTGTAAACCTCACTATGTGCCTACACTAGCCTACTGTGAGCACCTCTAAGAAAAAATAAAAGATCCTTTCTTCTGACCAGAAAATTGCAGCCACCTAAGAAAGCATGAAATGAGAAATCAGAGAGGTCAACTGAATAGGTCTTTCTATCCAGGGAGGGAGAAAGAGCAGCCACGGCTTCGGGGAGTGGATTAGAGGAGCTCAAGTCCAGATTGAGCTCTTCAAGGTGAACACCATCTGGCTGAGTATAAGGGGTGCATGGGTGGGCAGGGGAGATGTTTCCAGAGCGGTCAGTGGTACCATTAGTGGGAGCAGCTGGAATACTGCATGGAAAGTGGTAAGAACTGAATTACAGAATGCACAGAATTGCACTTGGGATCAATGTCAAGTTCAAATTGGTCAAAAACACTCGAATCTCCTGAATGTTGGTAGTGTTGGACTCCTTTATTTGGTGGGGACTGCAATCTAAGCTCAGGAAAAAGTAATAGAGATACATGAGGCCAACTAATGTCATTTCATTTGTCCCAAGCTGTCCTTCTTAAGGTGCTCCAGGATTAATTTAAAAAATTAACTCAAACTGAGAAGTGAAAGCAAATTCTTTTCCTGTGAGTCAAAGGAGGTGGGTGAAAGGCTCTGTGCCACAGAGGGTGCGGTCAGTTTGAAGACAGCGCCACTCATCAGCTTTACATTCTCCTTTGCTTCCTTCCTGGCAAATACTGCTGTGGGATGGTCTGTATGTCAAATTGCTCTGATTGTTCAATAAATAAAACACTGATTGGCCAGTGGCCAGGCAGGAAGTATAGGTGGGACTAACAGAGAGGAAAATAGAAAGAACAGGAAGGCGGAAGGGGTCACTGCCAGCCGCCTCCATGACAAGCAGCATGAAAAGATGCCAGTAAGCCACGAGCTACATGGCAGGGTATAGATTTATGAAAATGGATTAATTTAAGCTATAAGAACAGTTAGCAAGAAGCCTGCTACGGCCATACAGTTTGTATGCAATATAAGTCTCTGTGTTTACTTGGTTGGGTCTGAGCGGCTGTGGGACTGGCGGGTGACAGAGATTTGTCCTGACTGTGGGCAAGGCAGGAAAACTCTAGCTACAAAATACTGTTCCCAAACTCCCGGTCTGAATCTCCTCTGCCATTTGCTAAGGATGAAAACCCCTATCAACCGCATTCCCACTCTTGCCACATACCCAGAATGCCTCTCCTGTGAGAACTGACATTTTGAGTCATGGGTTTCAGAAAACCCATCTCCCCATTTATTTCTGAGACATGAGCAGGTTCAACCCTCTGTAACCTCTTAGCTCATAAAAAGTGCAGGCAGGTTGAGGCTCATTCAGAGTTAGTGCTCACCCCAGCAGCCTTGAATCCCAGACATTTCTCCCACTGAAGAAGCATCCATGTGCCACCACAGTAACATTGCCAAGTACTTGTAGGTACTCCTAATTACCCGAACCCTTCTGCATTCGACTCTGTAGTATGTTCCCATTCTTGTTAAATGTGACATGATGCTCCTCACGATTGACCTCCCTCTTTAGCACCTGTCTCTTTGACTCCAAACGACTGGGGTCACAAATGATGGAAGAGACTGACACTGAACACCTTCGGATTTTAGACAGGTGGGTTGGCGCTGCATCGCCAGCTGTCACCGTGACTCCAGGAGGAGCATGAGGGCAGCCCAGCCTCCACTCCAGGTAAAGAGAGGGAACACACGAGACACTGTCGGACACACAAGAGTCCAAGAAGAGACTAAAGCCAGCCCTGCCTTGTTGGGGAGGCCAATGTGGAGGGCAGGTAGAGCAGATAACTAGCTCCATAGGATACTCAGCTGGAGACTCCTGCACGAAAGCTTCCAGTTCCTATCAAAAAGGATTCATGGGTGAGAAGCAAACGTTGCAAGTTCTAGAATTGTAATTCAATTTATTTTTTCTAAGCTTGGCATCCTATAATTTCAGTGCAAAAGAAATGGGTAATCTAAAGTACAAAAAAGGGAGATTGAGGCAAGCATGGGCTACTTGGAACCCTATCTCAAAAGAACAAAAACAAAAACAAAACAAAACACCAGATTCCCTCTTCTAATCACAAAAGTGGAGGCTGTATTTTCATAAGGCCGTTTCATATGGAAGAACAGCTCATGTGTACCACAGATTTATATTAAGATATGAAGCTGTGAGCAGGTCTAAAGGATGTCAACGCTCCTCTCACTGAGTCTGTCAACATGAAAGAAAAGTCTGGAGGACAATGACCTCAGGAAAAAGCAACCTTGGGCTGGGGGTACAGGCCATTGGCAGACCACTCGCCTGGAGTGTGAATGGCCTGAGTTCAAATCCTAGCACCAATAAAAGGGAGGGGGAGAAAAGCAATGCGGAGGGGGGGGGAACATTACAAAAATTATGCTCTTTGGTCCAACACAAGGGAGAAGACAGAAAAATGTTAAACTCTGTAAAAAAATTATGAAGAATGATTATTTTAATTTAAAGTTGCCAGCAGTCAACAAAAGGAGGAAACACTGACTTATTTTCTGAAATTAAAAAGGATTGTTTATTGAATTCTCCAGTGTAACTAAGCTGAACAAAAACATCAACCCACAGAACATCTGGATAATTCCAAGGCAGGGATCGGGGAATTAAGAAATATGCAAGCTATGCAGCATATAAGGGCAGTTCGGTTTGGTTTTTATTCTGAAAAGGCTTTAAATAAAGATGTTTCAAGATTTTGCCTCCCTAGAGAGCAAAAATTGATGGTGTTTATTATATTCTACACAACATTAGACCCAGGTCAGTGATCAAATCCACAAAGCCCTAAATTTGTTCTAACAACAAACTATTGGAAAACTACAAAGTGTAGGAGTATTACTTATGCAACGTACCAGCACTGAGCAGGCCTGGGCAAGCTGGGGATGATGCCATGCTCACAGCACAAATCCAAACGACCCTTCGACAACAGTTGTGAAGGACTAACATGGTTTCCCTGCTGTTTTTACCGTCAGCTACACAACCGAAACTCACTTCTTCTAGTGAGTAGTTAAAAAAAAAAAAAAAAAAAAAAAAAAAACTAAGCTAGCTGATCTCACAGGGTTAGCCGTACTGTAATCACACACTACACGGTCATACTGAAGCCAGGGCATCAGAATCAGAGCAGGAACAGTCTTCTTGGAAGAGGCATAGAGTGAGTCCTGCTCAAAACACAAATTCATCACAGTTCTTTTTCCTTAAAAAAGTGTGTGTGTGTGTGTGTGTGTGTGTGTGTGTGTGTGTGTGTGTGTGCGCGTGTGCGTGCGCGCACATGCCTACACTTATGAGAAGGGGGAAGGAAGGAGGGAGGGAGGGGAGGAGGAGGAGGAGGAGAGAGAGAGAGAGAGAGAGAGAGAGAGAGAGAGAG